ATAGGTTGAATGTCATCTTTATTTGAACCAGAGTAAGCTACTGGATTACTGCAAATCAAAAGACATTGTTCTCGTTGCTTATGGTGCTCTGGGAACCCAAAGATACAAAGAATGGTAATAAGATAAAAAGAGTAAACCTGTCAAGCAAGACTGTCAATTTGTATCAGAACACTCAGTTCTCAGGGAGAGGGGGATCTTTCTTTAGAGGCACCTGGTGAAGCAATATCTTAGTTTCTTTTCCTGTTGCTCTGATAAAATACTCTTACAAAAGCAACCTAAGGGAGAAAGGGCTTCATACAATTCACAATTCAAGGGAGATCAAGGTGTCAGGAACTTGAAGCAAATGGTCAATTCTCAATACAGTCAAGAAACAGAGACTGATGATTGAACAGTAATGCTCAGAATACTCTCTCCATTTGTTACAATGCAGGATCCCCTGTTCAGGGAAGTGGTCCCACCCATAATTAAAGCAGGTCTTCCCACATCAAATTTCATAATAAAATAATCCCCCACAGGCAACCCAGAGGCCCATCTTCCAGATGATTCTAGATTCTGTCCAGTTGACAATTATCCATAACCATCACACCCAGTTTAACCATCATACCCTTACTGTGTTTTGAAGCACCGTAGCAAAACATAAACTCTGGCCTCATAAGCTTATTTCTTCTTTCCTTCTAGGGTGGACCAGAACTCTCCAGTTCTCTTGAATGATCCAGTTCTTTGTGATGTGGCCAAAAAAAACAAGCGCAGCCCTGCCCTGATTGCACTTCGTTACCTGTCAGCGTGGGGTTGTGACCCTGGCCCAGAGTTTCAAAGAGAATGAAATGAAAGAGAATTTGAAGGTGATGAGCTCTGGTCCTCAGCGTTCTTACATAGTATCTCCCATATGCTTGCTTCCTTCAAATCTTTCAGAATATTTTGAGCTCATGTTCATATTTTTAGCATTTCTTATGCATGAAAACTTTGAAGTGCATTGAGAAATGTCTTGTCTACAACGTAAAGAGCAGGATGACTTGACAGATTTAGTGTTGGAAACAGTATAGAATTTGATTTGCATTGTCACCCAAGTACTACCTACCTTTCCCACGGACATTTTTTATTTTCTCTAATGAGGGATCTGAACTGAGTAACTTTGATTCTAGAAATTTCTATGGTTTTATGTTTAATTCCCTGCATGCTCAAATATTCTAATATTTTTATATATAAATTGTATGTTCCAGTTGTACTCATTTACCTAAGTTAATATTTTTAAAAATTAATAATTTTTATACTTTATCATAGCATAAAATATATTACATATAATATATAATAAATATAAAGTAAGTATACTTTATCATAGTATAAAATATTAGCACTTACTAAAGAAATCATTCTTAAGTAGAAGTTTTACGCAAAAAAACAGTTATTTACCTTGATATTTTTTATTTAAAAATTTGCAGTAATTTAGCCTGATCTCAGAGAAAATTATCTATATGTAGTGAGTCCCTTCATATATTTTTGAGGAACTGAAGGCAAAGATTTAGGATGATGAGGACTCTCATGCTCAGAAGACTGATTGAGCTTTTCCTTAATTCCTATAGGGTTTATACAACTGACAAGTCTCCCAGGTTTTACCCCTGCACTTATCGCTAAACCAAGAGAGTGACACACTTTTATGACAAGTACAGAGTTGATGAACCAGTGCATCTGTCAAGTTCAAGTGTCCAGGGCAAGTTACACAGAGGCCAAGATTCAAGGGGTAGGAAGTTGGTATCACCTCCATGGGTGAAAGAGTGAAAACATTTCATCAGTGTGCTGACTAAGAAATGTGCATTATAATCAGTCTGCTGCACTTACATAGCCTTAATAGTAATTGTTATGTAAATTCAGAAGTGTTTGCTAAATTACCAACTTCCAATTTTATTTATTTATTTAATTATTTATTATTTTTTTATTGTTTTATGAACAAAGGGTCCTAGCACTGTCTTCACACTTCACTATGTGATTGACCATCACATCTTTTCATTTGTCAGACAAGAGTCTACTTTTACCAAATTTTTGTGTTATTTCATTTCTCAGTTCTTTTTCCTATTAACAAATCTCCTTGTCTCTTCCTCCTTTCTCTGTCTTCATATTTTAAGATACCAAAGGACTTAACACTGCATATGTTTTGAGATGTGAGTAGTTAATGAAAATCATTTTAAAGTTAGTGTCTCAAATTTAAATAAAAAGATCCTTTTTAGAGCTAGCTCTTTTGTCTCACATGAATTTAAACAAGTCTTGGCTTACCTAATGTTGAAAAAGTGTTGTTTACATGTTAATTTGTTTAATGTTGGGTTACATAAATCTAGCTCCCCATGCAAATCACGGATTTGTGTGATGTGTTTTGAAATTTTGCTCTAGTTTTTTTGGAAACTATCTAACTTTGGATGATGTCAACATTTTTTTTCTTCACAAGCTTCTCTCAAGATTAGCTCTTGTCTACAGTATTGTGCAATTTTATCAAATCTCAAAACATTTTTTTTTTCATTTTTACTTGGTATTTATTAACCACGAATGTTTTGGTAAACAATGTTCATCATTTTTGGAACATACATTTACATTGCCTTTGAGACATAAAAACACAATTCATTCAAATGCTAATGTCTTTGTTTTTCTCACAGGTTTTTGAATTTCAATTGTCTCCAGAGGACATGAAAACCCTAGATGGCCTGAACAAAAATTTTCGCTATCTTCCAGCTGAGTTGTAAGTCATGCTGATAAACACCTTACCTCAATTTGTTTTAGTCAAGTAGCTCCCTCCCTCTTCTGTTCATGATGTTTCAGAAACTAAATGCTCTGCTTGTTTGTAGCAAGTTTCCCATGGAGACAATTAATACCCCATTTGTTTTCAAATTTTTGTAATGGGATGTGTCAGCACAAAACACAGAGAAAGTTTTCAAAGTCATGCTCAAAAGTAAGAAGAGAACCTTCAGGAAAAAGCTTAAGAACATTAAGCCATTCAAACATCTTTAGTTTCCCTTTATGCTCTCATGGTTACAAAATTTGATAATGGACATTGATTATAAATGATAACAAAGAAATAATGGATATAGGTACATGTATGTGCATTTGTGCATATTCATCTCTGTCTGTCTATCTATCCATTTAGTTATCATTTCTCTATTTTCTGCTTGTAAAATTTTCATTCTTAGTAGAAATAAATATGATAATATTTGAAGGAGTATTAGAAAATCTACAATGTAAAATTGGGGTATCTATAATGATTATTAATATTTTTGTTAGTCTGGAGCAGAATAAAGCTGATGAAAGAGATATAAATGAGTGATTGAATCATTGTTATAGGTAATAAATATTTCTTGCCACATTTTAACAATTAATAATGTTCACCACTGTATATTTTGGAGTATTATTTGTATATAGAGTCCTACAAATTATACTGTTAGCTCCTTGGACATGGAAACCCATTTTATGAATGACATTCTTTTCCTAACTCAATCTAATACAATACACTATGTTTGACGGTCAAAGACTGAATAATTAATGAATTACTAATAGTTAAATATAAGTGAAAGTAGTAGGCATAAGTGATGCATGGTAAGATATTTTTGTGTTGCTCAATGTCTATAGAGATACCTTGAACTAAAGATGACATATGCTTTTCTCCTTTTATTAGATACAAAAGTTGGAAAGGATTTTTGGCCCTTTTCTCTTTGATCCATAGATGAAGCTAAGAGAGACAAATATTTATGAATACTGGTCTTAGTGTTTTCTGTTCTAAGCAAATAGACCGAATTTAAAAAATTATAAATGATATTTAAAAAACATTTCCTATAAAACAGTGTAAAGGACTATAAGAGTATGTCATTCTGCAACTAATCAGGGAACAAAATGGTTAGCTTTCACCTCGATTGTAGCTTCCTAGATATCACATCTTTACATTATAAAAATATATCATACAGTGTATGCTTGTTTTTATTTCCTATTTTAGTTTTGCTGACCACCCGGAATATCCATATTCTGAGGAATATTAACATGGGAACCTGGTCATGACTTGTGCCTGATATCTCTGTGTGTGGACAATGATGCTGGTGATCTGTCTCGGATGCTGTTGGGTGGACATGTCATTTCTGATCAATGAGGGTTGCTTAGCAACTCATATTCAACTGAAGCACCAGCTAATGGTCTCGAAGAAAAGGAATTTAATTTTCATGATTTAAAAAAAAAATAAATATGTTTCACTCAAAAGATATTTCCTTGTTTTTTTTTAATCATTATTACACAAAATTGGTTTTGGTGCACTAGTCTGTGAGTGGTGTTTGGAGATGACTATTCCCATTTTATAAACATTTCAGGGTTGGGGTAGGTGGTGTTTTCAGACCAAGGGATGACTGTTGGTAGTTGTCACATAGTCCATGATTCTCAGTCTGGAAGGTGAGCTGGACATGGTAAATTTGATCAATAGTGCCTGGGCTCTCACCAGCTGCTTAGCATTAGAGACTTGGAATTGGAGAGTGAGGCATTCCTGAGACAGGTTAGGCTCAAAGAGGTGACATAAGAACTGGCCTAGCAGGATCATTAAAAGTCAGGATGGGGGACTTCAGGAGCAGGGAATTGACTATAGCTCTATCTAGACATGATGTCAAGGTTGCTTTTTTTCTGTATGTATGTAGAATGTATGTATGTAAATATGTATATATATACATATATATGTTACATACAAAGATGCTTTTCATATGTTTAATCCAATGACACAGCAGAGTTAGTCTTAGCATTTTTTTTAAAAGAACCAATTTTAACTATAATAAATAAGAATTGTGATGCATTGATGGAATGGGATATAAGTATTCCTTTAAATTTTAGTGTATAAAGAGGTTAACACAATGTTAGACTAAGAAGCTTCAAGTTTTTCCCAATGGAAACATCAGAAAAACCTTGTGACCCAGGATAAGTCACATCATACAGGCTCTGGTAAGGAGTCGGCTGTCTACAGAAACCAAGTAAGGATCCAACAATTAGTAACA